GGTTACCTGTGTGGAAAACTGAAGTGTGGTACTGCGGATGGAGGTAAAATATGGACAATGCCTTCATTTTTCACGCCTTCTAATGCTTCTGATTATGTCACATGAAGGCTGGCTAGGGAATTTAAAGAGCTATATGCCATGTTAGTCAATAAAATATTTCTAAGCATCTTTATTTTCCTTTTACTTTTAGAGAAAGCTGTCAGCACCCAAGTGTTTTCAGTTCCTTTGAATTTTCCAGTTCTGGACCTGCAGTTTCCCACAAGGAAGCCTCTATCCCTTATGGCTTCTGGGCCCTTGAGTTGTGGCTGGTTCAAACTGAGGTGCTGAGTTAGTGGCTTTTGAAAAATATAAAGAAAATAGCTCATTAATTTTGATCCTGATTACATGTTAAAGTTATACTCTAAGTATATTGAGTTAAATAAAAATACAATTAAAATTTCAATTGCTTCTTTCACCATTTTGATGCAACTCCTAGAAAATTTAAAATGACATACTGTATGAGGCTTGAAGTCTGTTTCTGTTGGGTGGTATTATTCTGGAGGTACCATTATTATGTCCTTAATATTCTGTCATCTGTTCTAGGGTTTCCTGAGTCATAGGTGGCTTGAGCTAGCTGCCTGGCAGGGAGGTCCGTGGTCATTCAGATGTGACAGAGGCCTTTTCTGTATCCATGGTTAGGTTTCCTGTGTTGTTCTGAGATTCAGATTTTTCATCTGCATATTGGAGACATTTCGTTTGACATTTTCTATTGTCCCTTTCCATTTGAAAATTCCGTGAATTTAGCATGGAGTTCAATGCTCAGGGTCAACTATTTTTACCTTTTTCTGTGTTTCCTTAGAAGGCCTCTATGACTGCATTTGTCAGATATCTGAGAAAGTCAAGCTGTTTCCTTTGCTCTCTGGTCTGGTAAACTCAGGAGTGGGAAGATTTTAAAGTTCTGATAGATTAAAACAACCTTCTCCCTCTCCGTTTCATTCCTGCTATTGCTCCTCAGTTGGAACACCTTAGCCTGCTGGTAAGTGTAGCTGCCAAAGTGATAAACTGTCACTTCCTGATAAGGGCTCAGTTCTTTGGTTCATGGACATCAATCAAATGTACTCTTACATACTCTGAGTATGGTGATTTCTGCAGACTATCTTCAGACACTGATGGTTCCATAAAAACTGAGACTCTGTCTTTTCCTTTTGGGTCCGACTGATAGAACAAATTAGTCATTACCGTTTTCCTGATGACTTGTAAATATCTCTCATTTAGCAGCCCTTCCTCCTATACTGCCCAACTGTCTGTCTATGCAAATGTTAAGTAAACATATCAGATGCTGGGCTAGTTGCAGGGAAGGGTAGCTCTCAGGCTTCATCTTAGCCTGAGGGGCAGGCAGATGAACAAAAGCCTGGGGCCTGGGTACTTGAGAGGGGCATTCTGGTAGGAGGACAAGGAGAAAACCACAAGAGCAAACTCAGGCAATGACATTTTTGGATAAAAATTTTTGATTTCAATGTAAGACAAGATTTCAGTTAATGCAACATAAGTCAAATAAATAGAATTTTCCTATATAAATATGTCCACATAATTTCATTTAATGGAACTTCAATGTCTGGATGGAAACTTATTGCTATATTGAAATCCATTCTTGTGATACTGACCATTTTACAGTATCTTGATGTTAAATTTTTGTGTTGGAATGAACTCTTATAGTGTGTTACATTTTTTAAAAACAGCTAATAATACAGAAAAAATACATGAAGGCAAATTTTACCAGTTTAAAAAAAACAGTGGCAATGGAGAAGGAAAATGTCTGTTTTTGCAGAGTCTGTTTTATTATCAATGCCTTTGAGTTGTCCTTAATAAAATCTTGACTTTTCTCTCAGAGTGTGGGCCCTAGGATGCATATACAGAAACATTTTGTAAAACAGAACTTTTTGTTTCTTTGATTTGAGGTTTGTAGGAATCCTAAAATGACAGGGTACTAACTGGCCCGGATTGAAATTCCAGATAATTGGACTGATTATCAGCACAGAAATGGTGATAATATCTAACATTTATATATGGTAGTTATTTTGTTTACTGTACAAACACACCAATTTATCTATCTCTAGAGTTAACAGCAGATATTTTAAAGTACTCATGCACCAACAACTAGGAGCTATTTTATTAAATATGTATAAAAATATATTTTATATTTTAAATATAATATATTTAAATATATTATTAAATATTTATATAAAATATAAATACAAAGTAAGCATTGTATATTAAATGCAAGCAATATTCATCTTGGAAAAAACCCAAAAGCTTACTGATTATATTTAACACTGTGAGGCTTAGATAGTCATACAATAAGGACAGCATGTATTTGGAAGATTTCCTTGTAAATAATTAGGTAATCTCCCTTGATCTGTTGTTTTGTTTTCTGTGGTTTCAATTTTTCTCAGTAAACTGCAGCCCAAAAATGATGAATTTCATAAATGAACAGTTTATGTTTAAAACTGTGCAAAAAAAAAAAAAAAAAAAAAAGGGCTGGGGATTTAGCTCTGTGTCATAAGCGCCTGCCTTGTAAGCACATGGTCGTGAGTTCAATCCCTGGTACCGACAAAAAAAAAAAAACAAAAAACAAAAAACTGTGTGACATTCTGGGTAGTGGGATGGAACGTGGGCTGTGAGTCATCCTGTCATCTAGTGTATCCACACAGTATGTCCCACCTCCCATTAGTCTGTTATCAGATCAGTTGTTGTGGTATTGCAGTGTTTATGTTCAAGTAACCCTTATTTTACTAAAGAATGGCCTCAGAGTACTTCCCTTAAGTAAAATGGTGAAAGTTATTTTTAGGGAAAGTCTTGTAATCCACAAATGAGCCTCCAAACTTGAGTTCAAAATATGAGGCAAAAACATATTTTAAAAAAGCAGTGCTGATTTATTTTATTCTGGGCCCAGTGACACAGTACAGTTGGAGTTTGCAAAAGCTGTCTGTCACTCCTCCATACTTGCAGCCTTTATGTACATATAACAGTTTACAAAGTAAGAGGTTATGGGTGTGGATCAGGAAATCTGCTAAGGAAATGAGGAAAACCTTTGTTTTCCTTAGCAGAGGATAGAGTAATCTAGCAGTAATTAACCATTCTTTGTCAACTTATTTTAGCACCACCTCTGTTATTTGTAGAGGGCAACAATGGTTCACATATCAATTAGGTTAGGTTCCCAGGGATTCACAATTCTTTACAGAGGAGAGCATTGATTAACATATCAATTAGGTCACCCAGAGGGGGGGAAAGTGCATACAGAACAGTATGGCCATGTTACAGGTATTTTGGTATAATACAAATATAATGAAGCTCTTTTTGCTAGGGTACAGCAGAAAGAAATCACATACTGCGGTTGTCAAGATCCATAGTAAGCAATTATTAGTCTCTCACTATGCCTAATTTATAAAACAGTGTGTATATAGAGTTCAATACTATTTGTGGTTTCAGGCATCCTCTGGGAAAATATCTCCTACAGATAAGAGGGGATAGTGCACTTAAAATATTTACCATGAATCAATTTTGTATCACCTTAATGCTTTTCCCATACACAGTTCTACAAATGAGTAGAAAATAGGAATATCTATTTGTATGCAGTTCAACCATATGACAACACAGGTGTTAAAATACTTTGCAGGGAAGGTTAAAGACACGTATGCAGAACAACAGTGGTGGCAACTACATATAGGTAAAGCATTGAACTTGATAATGATTTGAGTGGCAGGTCAGCTATTGGTTAGAAAATAGCTTTACATTAATGAGTTCTCAATCTCCTTTCAATTTCTCATTCCTCTCCCATTTGCTGGAATTAAAATGTAAAAGCAGTGCCATGTCATTTTCTGCTATAATGAAGTTGGAAATTGTTAACATGGAGTTTTTGCTAGCATGGTGATGCCTGATGGCAAGAGGTTGCCCACCTGGGCTGTGAGGGTTGTGTGTGGGTACACAAGTAATTTATATACTGCTTGCTTTGTGACAGTGTTGACAGCTGCCCTTTGACTAGCAGTAAGTAGAATAACTATTAATGTGTGTAAAATGGAAAAGCTCACTACAAATTCTATCTCTAAGCTATATGTTATCATTTGTTCAATTTCTATACCCATTCATTCAGTAAGTGATTAGCGAATGCCTGTTATGTGTCTGGCAGGATGCGAGGAACTAGGGATAGAGCAGTGAACAGGAAAGGAAAAGGTCTTGAGCTGCCAGATAAGATAGCCAATAAGCAATATCAGAGTAAGTGATGAGAAAAGCCACAGGCAAGCTGATGAGAGAAAATGTGTGCATGTAGGAGGGGCAGAAGGAGAGGGACGGGGAGGGTGGTGTGTGTTTAGGGGTAAGATCATCAGGAGAAGTCTAAGGATACACTGATTAAGGTGAAACCTGGAAGAACAGCTATTTTCAATGTGCAAATAGAGGTGTTAAGTGGATTCCGAACCAAAGTGGTTCTGCTTTGTGTAGTAAGAATACTACTTGTGTGCAACAATGATGTTTTGAGCTGACTCAGAACAACCACTTAGAAAAGACGCCAGCCAGGCCAAAGAGCAGGGCCTTGGGAACACCCTGTTAGGTCAGCTGTGAGCCTTAACTGCTGGGTGGAGGGGAGGCTTCAGGAAGCAGCTTGGGGGAGTCGGAACAGCACTCAGAAGTGGGGTGTGTGTGTGCAGGGTATAGGCCATTGCCTAGGGTGTGAAATTGTTTACACAGATAGCATGGTACGTGTAACAGCTGAGCATCAGCCAGGCTTCTGTGTAATTTTATGATCCAAGTATATATTGATTTACCAATTGCAGTTAAAGACTATGTTTTAAATTCTGGCCACCCTACACAGTTTAGTAGAGAAAAGATAGGGTTAAATTATGTTTTTTAAAACAATTCTGACAGCTATGCAGTTTGTAGTCTAGATCACATTTAGAGAAGGTGACCTTAGCAAACTGGATCTATTCTTCTCCAAATAACCAATCAAACTCCATCTGTCTTTTTAGGCGGCATCGTTGTCCACATATTCCTACTAAGATTTATGATAAGACAGAGAAACCATGTCTGCTCTCCGAATACACCGAGAACTACCCTACTTACTATTCTTACCTGCCCAGAGAATCTTTCAAGCCCAAGCGGGAGTACCAGAGAGGGTCCATACCAATGGAAGGCCTGACCACATCAAGGTGAGGGCAAGTTGGATTAGTATATGAATGCCCAGCAGGAAAGCAGTAATGTATAGCACTAATACGTAACATTAAGATCATAATGTATAGTACTAATGCACATAGTATCAACATATGGTATTAATGCCTTAATGTTAATGTGCTGTATCTTTGAAAGAAAATCTTGAGTTTATTAGCCAGCTTAGTTGTTCCCAAACCCCATCTTAAAGAAAAAGGGTTTTTGCTTGCCAAGGTAGGGGTCAGGGAAAAGGTAAGTTGGTCTGTATAATAAAGGATATATAATTAAACAAAGCAGTAAAGAAATGGAAAGAGTAGAGTCTGCTGCCCAAAAAGGAGTTTTGGGCTTTGTGCAAGGCTTCAGGTCAGCTTAGGTGATAATGATGGAGAAAGAGAAGTGATGAGAATGAGCATATTTAAAGTTATGCTGTAGATTCTCTCACTTTGTGGTAGTGGGAATGGAACCCAGGACCTTCACACTGAGTTACATTCCCACCTATTTAAAAAAATTTGAGACAGTCTCACTGTCACTGAGTTGCCAAGGTGAGGCTTGGCCTATGCTGTAGATTTTGAATTGAACTGAACGTTGCATGTTTAAGAAATATGAATAGTAAGGGTAGTGTTGCACACCGGTGATCCCGGTACTTAGGAACCCGAGGCAGGAGGCTCACATGAGTTTGAGGTCAGCCTGGACTACCTAGTGAGACTCTGTCTCAAAAAAAAAAATTAATAAAAAATATATTTTCTTTTAAATTCCTCTTTTAAATTTCTAATCTGAAATTATTTAGATCTTGGTCTTTGCAGAGGCTGAGCCACATAGTAGGGGACATCTGATATTGTCAGGGTGCGAAAGATTGCTCAGGAAGTGTGTCAGTTAGGGTTCACTGACAATTGATTTGATATAAAAATACACATGATATATAAGGGATTTGCAAGGTCAGCATGCAGTGGCCACCTGCAGAGTCAGGGGTGGAAGATGGTGAAAGGGCAGTCTGGGCACTGGCGAGCCAGAGGGTGCAGCAAAAGTCAAAGGCCAGGAGCTCACTGCAGAGGCTGGTAAGAGTCTGAGCAGGTAGCCAAAGAAGGGTCTGCATTGGGAGGTGAAGAGTTGGTACTAGAAGCTGGGAAACAGACGTCCAAAGAGGTTGTAAAGACTGGAGTTCCTCTGAAGAAGTGAAAATGATAAAGGCTTCACTGTTTCCTTTCCCTTTTTGTTCCGTCCAGGCTACAAGCCTATTGGTTGGTGTGACCCACACACAAGGTGGGTCTGTGATACTTAGTAAATAAATTATCCAAACACACCCAGAACTGTACTAAACCAACCTACCAGGTGTTTCTTATTCAAGTTGACAGTACAATTAACTATTACATGGAGGGTTCTATGTGTTGCAAGACTCTAGCACAGTAGTGGTGAACCTGTCGCATGCATGTTGTGGCTGGCACATGGAGCCCCCTCACTCCAGCAGCTAAGCATTGGCTAACAGTTGCTTTTCTCTAAACTAAAACCTCAATATTCAGGTTTATTTGCAGACTTTGGCACTTTGCCACAAATAAATGAGCTTTGAGTTAAGTGTTTGGTCTCTAAAAGGCTTTAGCAATCTTCTGCTGACCGTTTGTACTAGTGACCTCTACTGGTGACTCCTGGCTGGCAATCCAATGGAATAGATACATCTTGGAGGAGAAGTCGCTGGGCTTGGCACCTTCTGCACTCTGAGGGCATCAGGGATTGATGGGTTTCAACTCTGTATAGGTGTTTCTTACAGGCTTGGTGGAGAGATTTCTTGATAACCACAAGCAAGGAAGGATATGATAGGAGGCCAAGTGGACATAACACCTTTAGAACAAAGGAAATTAATTTTTGATACCCATGCATTGGTTCTGGATTTAGAAACTCATGGACTTGACAACAAGCAGAAACAATTGTATCAGCATTAACCACTTCATCAGATACATTTCTGAGTGCAGTTGGGCTGGGTCTCCACATAAGACCTGGCAGGTTGAGGTTGAGATTGTCAGTTGCACCTGTTTCTATCAAAAGCTGCCACCTTCTAGATCTGTGGGAAATCTTTATCCTGATTAGGGGCACAAGGATCAGTAAGGGGCAAGATGAAGTCAGTAGACCTCTGAGCTTGGGAAAAACTATTTATCAGAGGCAGCTAGAGAATGGGAGATAGCTGAAGTCCTTGCCTGATGCTTGACCTGAATTAGGTCACTTTTATACAAAGCATTTATCTAAAATAGTTTTGTAATACTCAACTGTGTTTTCAAAGTAAACAATATAAATATTATAGTTTGGACTTCATTTGGGCAAGAAAATAGCATCTTTAAGATGCTTTCTGATCCTGAGGTGCATCAGAAAGCCACAATAAAGGATGGTGTAATATTTAACTGATTGATACCCAACTAAATTGGATCAGCACAGTTCTGAGTGTGGCAAAGGGATTTCCTGAAAACAGAAGACCCACCCTAGGGTAGCCTGTCACCTGAATGGTATAAAGGGGAAATGAAGGAGGGAGGCTTGCTTCTGTTTCTCAAGGAGCTCCGGTCTTTGCCTTCACCTTGACAACATCTCTTGACCTCTAGTGCAGACCCTTTGGCCTCCTGTTACGGACTCACACAGGACACTACACCGAGCTCCAGGCCTTTAGCTGGATCCTTCAGGTCTCCAGCAGACAGACCTTTTGCACTTTTCCACAGCTGACTGTGGGCAGTCATTGGAAGCCAATCTTGTAAATTATTATGCATTTGTGTATGTTGCATTAAATCTGTTTTTCTAGTAAGCACGGATTGATACAGATGGGAACCATTCTTGAGTACTGAATTTCCTTTTATGAAACAATGGGCAATACCAATGAAGAGTCCTAGGCACACACATAAGAGACATGTAACTGGTAGAAAAGGGTAAGAGTAGTGTTGAGAGATAACGTAAATCCTCCACTTCTAGGTTTGGCTCATTCTGTCTCTTTATATCCGGTTTGCAAGAAATCCAGAGTACAGTGTGAGATGTAAAGTATCAGATACTAGGAAATATACTAGAAGTATATTTCCTGTCCTGTAGGTACAGAAAGGACACTTTGAGGGTTGGATGTGGGGCATGCTGTTTGTTGCCCAAAGTTTAGGTGAATAAAGACAAATCCTAGACAAATCTTCTAGCTCTGAAATCCCCAGATGTAGCCCTACATATTCCCCCTTCTCCCCCTGATGGTGCTTTGCAAAACAAAAACTTACCCTCTGACCTGTCCTAAATTATCTTTGCCTTGTGTCACCTACAATAACAAACATATTACTCAAAAGTTTCCTTTGCCCCTTCCAGAGGCAGAGTAACAATAAATATAATTTATATCATGATGTGACTAGATGGGAGGACTGTAGTTACTGGAAGAATTTCCAAAACAAGCTATTAATTAATGATCATAAGGACTTTAAAAAGAAAAAGTGGTAGAATCAAGTTTACCCATGAGAAAGAAAAAGAGTAGACATAGGTCTCTCTTATTTCTTTCTTTCTTTTTTTTTTTCTGGTACCAGGGATCGAACTCATGACTGCCTGCTTGCAAGGGCAGGTGTTTATGCCGCTGAGCTAAATCCCCAGTCCTTCTTATTTATTTCTTGCCCTAAAAAGAGAAGTCGGGGGAAATGAACAGAGGGTATCTCTTCTCTTCCTTCTACTTCAGCTTTGTTATTTGGTAACCCTGTGCCTTCCATTCCAGACACTAGTTTTCATAGACTGAGAACAGAACTATGCCAGTTTCAGAAAATGTAGAGAAGTCATCATATGGGTACTGTACCAGAGGCTTCTGGGAACAGGTATGGGTCAACCTTGTGTTTCTACACCACTTTTTCAATGTGGGGTGTTACTCTGTCCCAGGACTCTTATCACCACACTATCCCACCCACTTACTGTCTAAAAGTTGACTCTGCTTAGTGTAAGAGTGCGCTCCCACCTGCTGAATGAAAAAGTCATGTGGACCAGGACTTGGCTGGATTGATGATTAAGTCCAGACACACAAAACACCTGGTTTCTGGAAAGGTTATCATCCCAGCATGAGGCATGATTACAGCTGCACACAACTCTTACTGATCGTAAATCTTGGGAATTTGAAGCAGGTGCCATAAGGGAAATGCTTGAAATTTCCAGCCCTTCTTAGTATGAAGCTAATTCTTGCAGCCTTTGATAATTCTCTTGCATAGGATTTGCCTTTAGTTCAGATAGATCTGAGATCAATTTATGAATAAGAGGTTTGCACTTCAAGACTTATTTCCCCTTAAGCATGCCACCATATAAAACAGTTGGGCCCCCAAATGAGACCTTATTTTTGTTAACTGTGCTACCCTCCTAAAGGTGGGCAAAAGAAATACCCTCAGAAGAAAGAGATGAGTCTTCACTGGTGGTAGGCTTTTATCCTAAAAGGGAGGAGACCATGGATAGCGTGGACTGGAGAAACAGAAGAGCTGATGGAGATGGGCTCAGAGCTGACAGATTTGGCTGAAAGCTGGAAGACTGGAATAAGTATTTCAGATTCTTAGATCTACCGATAAGACTACTTAGTGTACCTAGGAGTTGGGTAGGAAAGCCTAAAAGGGAGAGGGCATTTGGGATCCTTTTTAAAAGCCAGGAGAGAAGCAAGAAAGTTGGTGCTGGATGTGAGTCTTGCTGTCTTCATTGAATTTGATATACTTTCTCTTCAAACATATGCTCAACTCCCTGACTCAGAGCTTTACCACTGGGGATACAGTTAGTCCTCTTTATAGGTTGGGCCTGAGAATTGATAAGGACATTCAGATAAAATTCTCAGCCATGAATTTGCCTGTGCCATTTCAAAGACGTTGGGTGCATTTATAACCATTTTATCTATTATTTTGTCAAATATTTCTTCTGTTCCTGATGCCCTATTCATTCATCCCCCTTTCCCTCCTTTGTTTTCCATGTGGAAAATTTCTATTAATCGATCTTCAAGTTCACTGAGTTTTCCTGTCTCATCTCCATTCTACTAAGTCCATTATCTAGTGAATGTTTTATTTCAGATACAGTGGTTTCAAGTTTTCAACTTTATATTCAGATAGTTTACACTCTCCATGACTAATTAGCTTTTAATTCATGATGATCTTACTGGCAAGTATTTTGTTTTCTTTAGGGGGCACAGTTAAATTAGCTTTGAAATCTTTGCCTGGTAAAGTGAACCTCTAGATTTTCTTGGGATTGGTCCCCATGATGATATTTTTTCCCTGAGCAGTGGTCACATTTTTCTGTACATATATCAGGTAATTTTGGGTTGGTTCTGGACATTGTAGATACTGTGTTGTGGATACTCACTTATTTAAAAAATGGTTCTGAAGAGCATTGCTTATCAGGCAAGTGTCTGATTAGACTCAAAATGTAAACTGCACATCTTGGTTGGCTGCTCGGATCTCAGGTCAGTTCTGTACCCTTAGTTGATTGTCTAAAGTCTGCCACATGCATGAGAGAGCTGAGCCCAGTTTTATACAGAATATTGGCTTCCTGCCGTGGTTACCTTCTTTCCAGTTTTCTTCCTTATTTTCTAGCACATGTGGCTGCCTCACATTTGCTCCTCTATGTCTTTACTCAAAAAGAGAATGGAAAATACTTGTTTTCTGGCTGCTTGGCCTGGTATAGACTAAAGCTTGCAGGCTAGAAGCTTTGACCCTTAAGCGGTTAACAGAAACTTAACCAATGAAGACTTACCCAGCACCACTTCCTTCTCCCACCTGATGATCACCCTGCACAATCTGCCTGTTTTGACCACTCTTTAGTATTTTTTTTTTCCTAGGGGGGTGACAGATGTTCGTCTCTTCCCTACTTAGCAGCATGTGGAAAGCTGGAGCTAGAGGAGAAAGTTCTGTGGAACTTGAATCTTGGAGTCCATGTCCTGGGTTCCTGCCTATTTCTGTGAAGATGAGGGGCACTCAGTGTCCCGGTCTTGATTACTCAGGACCGGGAACTAAGCCCTGTATTCACCTAAGAGGTCTATCTCAATGGTCTGGGATGGGTTCCCTATCTTGCCTAAACAATTAAAAAATTATTCCTCTAAAGAGCATTGTTTATCAGGGATATACCCATTTTAAAAAAGTGTTGCATGACCCTTTGTCATGGTGAAAATCTCCATTTCCCACTTGTAGGCCCATGACCCTAGTTAGCTGTAAGGCTGTTTCCTCTTTTCTTGAGTGAAATTCTTGTCAAACACCTTTCTTTAGCTTTGCCAATTGATTTGAAGTCAAGTTGTTACAATTTCCCCAGTAGGGGCCACTTTAACCTTTACTTTGAGTTTGACTCTTGGCCTTCCATACTATATAACATTTATAGCTACTTATCTAAAAGAAACTTAGATCTTTGACCAACTTTTGTTCTTGGTTCATAGTCATAGTGGGCACAAACATTAGGAAATATACCACAGAAGGAGCGGGAAGATCCAGCATTCTTAAAAAAAGAAAAAGCTAGCCAGTTGGAGCAATTTCTGGGAAGAATAAAATACTTTTCTTTTGCATGAACTTAAAGACTAAGATTATGTGTGATTGGGGACATGCAGTTATATTGTGGTTAATGATAGGTTTCAGTGAACATTCTCAGCATAAAAATGCAATGAGGAAGCACATAAATTCTGATTAAATTTAGGCTTAAGTCCCAGTAACTATTTTTGGGTAAGGACTAAATGAATCAAACTTTAGATTTAAAAATTTTTCTCTTTTCAGAAGGAGATCTACCTTTTCCTAATGGTTTGCCTTACTTAGAACCCGTTAGTACATTTAACCGTAGATGTATGCTTACACAGGCACCTGAATTTTGTATTGGAGTTAGTAACAACTCATTACTCAAACAGGGTGAGCAAGAATTTCACTGCATGTGCTGTTGTCTTTGAGAAGCCAACTTCAAGGTAGTCCATTAACTGGTGAGCTCAGGAGCCTTCATTTGCTTTTTGCCTGTGAAAGGAGCAGGGCCTGACAGCCCTGGAGGGAGGGTTCTTGTGGTGTATCTGACAGGAAGTTGGCTGGTAATAGCTGAACAGGATGTTGTGGCCTTGCATGTTCAGGGACTGGGCATGGCATGCTGGTGCTTGGAAAGAACTCCTGGTGCTCTGGGATGAGTGGGGTACCTGGTTATTTCTTCACTACTTGCCTTTGGGCATCTCCTGATATTTCTTGGAAGTGAGGAAGGCCAGTGGCTTAGGTAGCCATCACCAAACACGGTGTTATGAAGGCTCAGAGGTGTGTGGTTTCAGGTCGCCTTAAAACCTCTCTGCATCCCACGGGGAGTGTGTTCAACTTCCCTACAGAGCATTTCCTTCTCAACATCAATTTTTGGACACAAAGTTAACTTTCCACTTAACTGGTTTTCAGACAGGGATTTTTGGGTATTTCCACTTATCTTTGCAGTCCACGGCCTTACACTCTTCATTCCCTGCCATAATTGGCTTAATACTGAACAAGACTCCAGGATAACGTTCTTGTTCACCAAGAGAGGTGTGAGTGGAGCTGGCCTTTGGCTTCTGTTTAAACTTTTTTCCTCCATAAGGACGCATCACAGTCTGCTCCCAGGTATCTGAGGATCATGCAGCTTTCTCTTGCTGTTTGTCAGTAGTGGGCCCCTGGGAAGGTAGCCTAGGCTGGAGGCCCTGTACCTGCCACTAAGATATATTTTAAGATCTACCCAGAGGGTATTATGGGAATTCAACTGAAGCATCTCCCACTTCCCCCTCAGAGCCCGGGAGAGACTAATTCTCCTGCTTTGTAACTCCTTCCTCCCATTCACCAAGCGTTTGCAGGATCCAGTTTGGGTTTATTGACAGCCCTGTGTATAATTCATGCAAGACAGGTTACAGCAAAGCATGTTACCTTTGCTAGTCAAGCATGGCTCACTTATGCTGCTCCAAATTTTGGCCGGGAAGTAAGTTTTATTGGTGTTTGGGCCTAATGTTTTCCTGTCCGGAAACCTTTCCTCTCCCCTGGGAGGCTGCTTTGGCAAACACCATCAGGGAAACTACCTTCTCTTTGTCCAGTTGGATAAGTGGTTTTTAGGCAAAAACAGACTGTTGAGTAAAGCAGAAGCCCTTGACGGGACCGATGCTGGCATTGGGAGTGGGAAGCTGAGACTGTCCTGGTGGGCAGCACGAGCCAAGCTAACTTGGGAATGGCTAGGATGGCTCCAGGTGGTGTACAGGTAGCATCTGGGCACTTTTATAACCATGCGACGATTTGGGAAGAGACTGCTTTCTGTGCAGTAGGCGTCATCCTGCTTTTCTGATCCTATTTTCTTTCTTCCTAATTGGTGCACATTGACTATGTGGGATAGTTTCACTGTGCATTTTTGTGCATTCTTGTAACATACTTTGATTGGATCCACCCCCTTGTTAGCCTATCTTTTGCTGTACTCTTTTTTTTTTTTTTAAAATTATTTAAAAGAAAAAAGAGAAAAAACAAAACAAAACAAAGCAGTGTAAGGGTACAAGTAATACAGAACTACAAAAAAAAAAAATAGTAAGAAATCACCTGTTAATAGATTACACTTTATCATCTTAGAGATAGTTGCTCAAGTCACAGTATCACAGCATACAAAGTTGGACATTCAAACAGAGAGTCTGCAAACAGTTGTGTTCAATGATCCAACCAAAAACATTAATATGGTCAGCTATTTAACACCCCTAAACACACTTGCAGTTGTATCTTTTAGAGCACTTTTTTTCCCTCTCTTTTTTACAACAAAATTTACACATTTTTGGGTTTTATTACTCCTTAGTTCTTATTACTTTTTTTTTTGGAAGAGAATAAAGTCAGATATTTTTGCCGTACTTTAATACTCCCCCAAATAATGGGCCACTAACAGCAGACGACAATGAAATTGGACTTAGGATCTCCAATTACTTTACTGTTTTTTCCTCTCTTGAGTTGTCTGTAAGGTCAAGAAGAAGAATGAGATAAACCTTAGCAGGATAAACGATTAGGATTATAGAGAAACAGTAGTACTTGAAAAAGCCCTGTGGTGAAGAGACAGGGTGGAATGATGAATGATAAATGATAAACTGGTAAATGATAAACTCTGGGCAGCAGGAAAGGGGCAAGGGTGACACACAGGGGTCTGACTTGGATGAGAAGCTTTGATGATCCCTTCCTTTGAAGCAGGGACTAGTGGAGAAGAGCAGTTGGGGAACAGAGTACAAAATGTTTGTAAAGATGAGTTGAACGGAAAATGCCAGCCTTATTCTAAACTGAGGATCCCAACGACATGTGCTTATTGTTCTTCCAGGAGAGATTTTGGGCCTCACAAAGTGAAACCAGTGAAATTGCACCAGCCTGATCAGTACATCCCAAGTGAAGAGAATATGGATTTGCGCACAACGTATACGCAAGATTACAACCCCTATTTTGTCTGCCGAGTGGGCCCCATCAAACCTCGGGACAGTAAATATCCATGTAGTGACAAGATGGAGAGTCTACCTACTTACAAAGGTGGGCAGTGAGTCAGGAGCAGCGAGGGAGGGCTGGCCAGGAAATAGGATCTGCGTGCCCTTCCCCTCAGTTCTAGGGGCAGCAAGTAGCTTCCTGTAGGCTTTGGCCAGCTGGCAGCTTGTTCTTGTCTAGCTGGAGAGCTAAGGATGGCTTTAAAGTTAATGATAGAAAAAAATAGATCATTTCAGGACCTGTGAAAGTTATAGGACATTTGAAGTCCAATGTTCATAAATATGTTTTATTGGAACATAGCCATTTAGGCCTTGTTACTCATGCATTACCAAGGGTACTTTTGTGCTATGGTGGCAAAGTTGAATAATCATAACAGTGACCTTTTTCACGGCCTAAGATATAATTCATGTATATGTTGCTCTTTACAGAAAATACATGCCAACCCTACCCTAGCTTGCTGTTTGAATGTACTTTTCAAATTTAAGCTACATTCAGTTCTACCACAGATTGATTGTTTCACATCATTCATTTAAAAGAATATTGACGTAAGTGCCTACCTGGCAAGTACAAGGTCCTGAGTTTGATTCCTGGTACCTCCACGTCCCCCTCCAAATATTGACATATATAACATACATGAAAACAATATATGCATCATAATTATACATATCCATCAGTTCTAATGGCACACACCTACATAAACAGCATCTAGATAAGGAAATATGTCATTAGTACTATGCCCTTGCAGTTAACCAATCCATCCACAATTTAGTCGTTATGCTGACTTTAAAACTTTAGTTTTGCCATTTTCAGATTTTATGTAAGCAAAGTTCATTCATTCTTTCAAAAAATTTTAAAATTCATATATAATATGTATTTATGGGGTATGATGTACTTTGATACATATATAGGTGGTGTGATGTTCAAATCACGGTAAACGTATGTGTCTCTTTAAACATTTATCATTTCTTTATGGCAAAAACATTCAAAACCCCTTATAGCTTTTTCAAGATACACAATACATGCTTTATTGAGTATCTATTACATGCCAGGCATGGTTCCAGGAAGTTTGATGGGAGCACAGTGATCTGCTTCTGACTTTTTAGGCTCCTAGGAGAGATGAGATGTGAACTCTTGTGTGCTTGACAGTTACTCCTTCTGTGGAGCACAGAGGCGGAGATCGGGAAACAGCGACTCTGAAGCTTACAATGCACGCTGTTGCCCTAGATAGATGTGCTAAATAGTTCACGTGTAATAGTTTCAGATTTGTGAAGGGCTGTGATGAGGATGGTTTTATTCAATCAGGCCAAGCGTTTAGGGTATAGGTGATGAGGCTGGAGTGATGTAAGAACCTTCCTGTATATCTGTCATTCAGTGGGGTCCCACACGTGGTTGAGCTCCTCTACCTTCCCCAGTAACAGACTCAGAGATGGACTGGCATGGGCCTTGTCAACAAGCTGGACTTGGTCCTTTTACTTTCTTTAGTGTGCTCTTGTGTCACTCTTCCACAGCTACCTTCTGCCAGGATGCATCTGGATACTGCCACTCCCAAAACGGCTTCCCTTCTCAAGTGTGTGCTTTCTGGCTTACTCACTTATCTCCTGCCATCATGGCAGTCCTTGACCTTGCTGAGACCTCCGTTTCACTGATGCCTCTACTTCTCTCTCACCATCTGCCCTTCCTTATGTAGCCTCTTCTCTGTCATATCCCTGTAATCCATCCTTACCAGGGTTCTAAACTCCCCTTCCCTTCTTCTATTGCTTCCTCTGGCAAAACCCTGCTCTGTCTTCTGCAGGTCAGTACCCAGGCATGCGTGGGAGGCCACCTCCGATCGATCGGCTCTTAGCCATTTGCACAGAAAGGGATTGGAAGTCTTTTAAGAAAGACACCTTTGTGATACTTTCTCCCCTTCAAACTCCTCTAATGATCTTTATGGTTCTTAGGTCAAAGTTCCAAGCCTATAAGACTCCTCGGTGTTTTGTGGTTCTGGTCTTGCTTCTGGAGCCCCCTTCTACTCCAGCCCATGGGCTGCCTTTCAGTTCTCTTCCTCTACGGGCCAGCTGACATGTTTGAATTCTTTCTGTTTCCCTATCCAGCTCTCATCCTTCACTAGCAGCTGAGCTCCCCATGCCAGACTAGATTCCCTCAGGGTGTCTTGTAACTCTTTGTGCAGCCACTTTTTGCTTTACTTTTGTCTCCTTGGTCATGTGAGCTCTAAGGGGACAAGGATCTGTTTCTTTTTTTGTTTGTTTGTTTGTTTTTTGTCTTTTTCGTTTTTTTTTATCGGTACCAGGGATTGAACTCACGACTGCCTGCTTGCAAGGCAGGCGCTTATGCCGCTGAGCTAAATCCCCAGCCCCATGGATCTGTTTCTTTGCAGTTGCCTCCTGATAGCAGATACTGTCATGGGTGCTTCAAAAAGGACTCAGCATGACCAGGTTGACAGTGCGGCAGCCTGTGCATCTGTTTGTGGTGGTTGTCTTGCTTTTTATCCAGTGTTTACAGGAAGGCAGAAATGGGGCATCACATACAGAGTGGCTGGGCAGAGGAATGGAACTAGAGCATACACTTTACACCCAAGATGGGAGGAAATAAGGGACTCGGATAGGGCACGTCAGATTACAAAATCTCTTTTTCTTTATACTGTCTTTGTGAGCGCCTTTGGTTTAGGTCTTGGGGGAGTTCAAAACTCTTTACAGCAATTTCTTGCTTGGTTCTATTCTCCATTTTGCTCTAAATGCAAGGATGGTTCTGGAAATGAAAAATGCTCCTTGCTTGCCCTGAAGGTGAGCATGAATGGAGTAAATGTAATGATACCGCTAGAGATGTCTTCTTTACTCATCTCCACACAGTACTCAGAATAAACACATATACAGGGAAAAGACCCAACTTAGTACTCATGATTTAGTCTTTTCTACCTCCAACTTTTCTTTTTCTTTCTTTTTGGTACCAGGGATTGAACTCACAACCTTGTGCTTGCCAGGCAGACACTTAGACCACTGAGCTAAATCCCTGGCCCTTACCTCCAGCTTTTCTGTATTCCCTTGTTAATGAAGTTACACCTTGAATTGCCCTCTGCAAACTAGGCAATAATAGGCTTCTGATAAAATTAAATCATAACTGACATTTCCTTACTGTTAACTTTAAAATTGAGAAAATTTTGTTTTATTCTCTATTTTTGTTTAACTTTTGTTAAAAAACCTGTTAACCTATTGACTGCTTGTCTACTTTAACAGAATTAAACATATTCCAGTCAAGAAGAATTGAATTGCTCAGGGTCTGGCACGGGTAGATGGTCAGAGCTTTGTTCTGGGTACAAATTTGACCTTGAGGTTGTATTTCATAGTTTTCCTCTGAAATTCAGATTTGAAAACACCTCCATGTGTACCTGTTAGCTCATTGTTAGATATGACTCATAAGTGCTATTTTGCAACCTAAATTTCTTCATAGTTTTACTATCTTAGGCTGTACTTTTGTAAGAACAAACCTGAGACTGGGTAATTTATAAATAATAGAAATGCATTTCTCACAATTCTAGAGACTGAGAAATCCAAGATGGTGTCAGTAGATTCAGCATCTGCTAAGAGCAGAGTCTCTGCTTCTAGGATGACATTTGATTGTTGAGTTTTCACATGGTAGAAGGCAGAAAAGAGATAAAAGGTTTATGCTAGTCCCTGAAGCCCTTTTCCAAGACAGTTCATCAGGACAACGCTTTCACGATTTAACCCTTTCCCCTAACGTCCCACCTAGTTTCAGCTTCTGACCTGAGGGACATTCAGGCAGGTGGTAGCAAATATTGTAATTGTATTAATTTGAGTGGTTTATTTGTTATAATACTATTCTGTGGTATCATGGCTTCCAAAATTGCGGGTTAAATACCAAAAATCTGTATTCTCAGCATTTAGAACAGGAAATGGACAATAAATATATGTCACATAAAGGAACAAATGGATGAATGGTTCTGGAGTCTTGTTTACAAGGGCTCCAGGTGACGGTGTTTGGCAACATATGTAAGCACATTCTCACACAGCCGGTTACCCTGTAGATCCTAGCAAGGAGCAGGAATGAGGGTTGAGGAAAGCCTCTGACACTTACCATGCCCTCGGGACATTCCTGAACTTGTTCTGGCATGTCTGAGGGACCGTAGTCTTGCCTTATATCTTGGTGAATCATGTCTTGGATGATTTATCTCTTGTGAAAATTCGCTGCTATAGTATTTTCTGTAGCAACTTTCATATTTTATGATGATATATTGCCCCTCTTTCTAAGGGGAGAAGAAACCAAAGACCCAGAGTTATTACATGTGTGTATTTCAATGGATCCATCTATATTTTGCTTACAGCTCTGCTTCTATTAGTTCTGTAAGAAAATGTTCAGACTTTTCACTTTCTACTCCTGGCCAGCACCTTAACTGGGGTCCAGCAAACCACCAATAAAATGTGCTTCAGCAGCATTTGGTTGTAATTTGTGACATTTTCAAAACACTGTGCAATTGGAAAGATGGAGAGTGTAATTACTTGATGCTTAGTTTTAGGTTTAGCTAAGTTTTTTTAAAAGATACATTATTGAGTGGAATCTCTTTTAAAGAGGTTCTTGCCAATTACTCACATGACACTCTGGCCCTGAAGGGCTTTACTGGTGTGTGAATAGTTTGTCATATGGAATTCTGAGGTTTTTCAGGCCGTGTGGAGAGCTTTTTGTAATAAATGCTGGGTGGAGGAAGTCAGAAGGCTGAATAATAATGTGGTTTCTGCTGTATTGTTGGGTATCAGAAATCACATGAGGCAACATTAAGCCTATGAACCTGTTTTCTTAACACTTCATCTGTCACAGAAGAGGACCAGAAAAGCCCTCTCCTACCCACCTCCAAGTAACCCGAGGTAGTAGCATGTGGGTATCTGCAGGTAGGTGCCCCTATTTCAGTGAGGCCTGAAGTCTGGGGTGGAACATGTGGTTTATATTCCCCAAGATGGCTCCCTTTAAGGCCCCCTAATGCTTTCAAGATGCTGATAGAGCCATTAATGGCTCTTGGAGAAAGATTAGATTTTCAA